TAGTTGGTCGACGACAAAGGTCGAAATGATTATAGTCAGCGGGAGACAAAGGTCAATAGGATCATAGTTAGGAGGCTGAGATCGAAGGGACCGTGGTAATTTAATGAAGGTTAGAGGGATAGTGGTCGAAAGACGGAGGTTGGTGAGACCATCATCAGGCAACACAGGTTAGAAAGATCATAGTGAGGTGCTAGAGGCATGAGGTAGTATAGTCAGACAACTAAGATATGAGGGATTATAGTCAGCATATGACGAAAGTTGGAAAGACCTTATTCGAGCGATAGTCGATGGGTGACGGAGGTTAAAGGGACCCTTGGGTGACTAAAGTCGTAGGGACTGTAGTTGGGCTATTAAGGTCAGATGGACCGCAATTAGTTGAAGGTGGTCAGAGAAATCGTAGTCGACGGATGATCTTGATTGAAGAGATTGCAATTGGGTGACAGATATCAGAAGGACTGTTGTCAGCAGATGTGGTCTGAGGGATGGTATGTGACAAGCGAAAGATGTTGAAAATATCATACTCAATGGGTAACAAAATTATATATAAAAAAAAGATCGTATTCGGGTGATTGAGGTCAAAGGGACTATTGTCAGGTGATAGAGGTCGGAAGGACCATAGTTATTTAATGGTGGTCAGAGGGACGACATTAAAAGGGTGATTATGGTCGGAGGAATCGTAGTTAGGAGACGTATGTTAGAGGAATCATAGTTGGGCGATTAAGGTCAGAAGGATCATAATCGGGAGACGTAGGCTAAAGGGATTATAATCAGGCGATGATGATGAGCGGAAGGTTCATAATCAGCCAATAGTGGTCCGAGGAACTATAATCGATTGGTGGCGGAGGTCAGAGGGATCATAGTCTTCTAGCGAAGGAGGTTGAAAGACCTGTAATTGACAGACAATGGAGATCGAAAGGATTGTAGTCAAGTGATTGAGGTCGAAAGACCATAGTTAGGCAATGATTGTCGGAAGAACCATAGTAGAAGATGATGGTTGGGCATAAGTCCACCAACAATTATTGGGTGGAGACCTTCCAGTGGTGATCGAACGAAGGTCCAACGACAATGGTTGCGCGCAGGTCAAGTAGTGGAGCCAAGGCTAAGGTCCAATAATGGCTTCATGGACATCCGACGACGGTCTTCAGATCAAAATCCCATAGTGGCAGGCAAGTGGCGATGGTTCGCTAGTGGTGGTGCTCTAGGATTTATGTCTTAGAGGTCTCTTAAATCTCTAGCTCAAGGTTTGAGCCTCCATAAGGTCTTCTTCATGCAGGAAGAGGGGGCTATTTATAGATTCTAAGAGTTTCATACTTCGTACATATGGCAAATATCTAGGGAAAATTCGGAAAGCTGCATCAGATAACCCATATTTATTCTCTCAATCATAAAACACTCATCAAGCATTTAAGTGCCTTAAAGATGTTGGAATTAAGCAAGCTTGGGCTTGTTGTATTTGTCTCATTGAGCCGCTCGATTTGACTATAAGCAAGTCATATTTTGATTTCATTTGGCACTCAATTAATATTTTGAAGCCTTGATTGAATGTGTATCAGGTCATCAATTTAAATCTGTTTGTGCTTGGAGTGGACCTTTTTTAGTGTCGTTGGGTTCATTTTGTCGAGACATTTTGTTAGGATATAAATTTGCTTAAATCAAAGTTGAAATGGTCCTAAATTTAATTTAGAAAGTTTATAATTTAAATATGCCTCGAGATTCGTGTCTAATCGAGACATTCTGAGGACTTGTCAAAATTTATTTTAATCATGTGGATAAATGATGGTGTGAAGACTAGTTACTAGAATAGGAAAGGAGACATTTTCTTTGCGTAATTTTTAATATTTTTTAAGTTTAGTAGATTGATTTCTTTTTTTCATCGTAGAATCACTCTTGATTTTTTGAAATGATTTAAAATTAAGGCTTCATTTGGGATGACTTTTTTAATGATTTTAAAAATTATTTATAGTTAAAAATTTTTAATTAAAAAAATTTTACTAAAAAATTATTTTAGAAAACAGTGAAAAAACTATCCAAACAAAGCCTAAAGCTTCATTTCTCCCCTTCCCTATTATTCCAGATTTATTTAAAAAAACAACAATCAACAAAATTACAAATAGTAATACTATTTAAAATTGTAATTTTCAAAAAATAATAATATATTGACATTGACAATAATTATATAACCTTATCATAAATTGCATATAATTGAAGATAAATTGCTTTGAAATTTTCATATGAACGTATGATAGATGAACTAATTTGGCTGCGTGTGGCATTTGTTAAGGGATCGTTTAATTTGATAGAAAGTACATAAATGATAAATAAAATATGATATTTGGTTGAAAGTTTTATAATTGGAAAATAAAAAATTTGTATGATTCCTTTTTTTTTTTTTGAGTTTTGATGAGAAGTAAAAAAGAAGTGTGAGATATTTAAAAATAGTTTTTTTAAAACTTTTAAGTCAATTAAAACAAATTTAAGCACAAATCAGATACGTAAGTTTCGAACACAAAACCTCTTAATTGACAGACAAAGCTCCCAATCAGAAGATCAAAAGAAGTAGCTTAAAATATTTAAAAGTTTTTTTTGGGACATTTAGCCCAATTAAGACAAACTCATACACATCACATACATAAAACTCGAACTTAAGAGTTCTTGATTGGCAGCCAGAGCTTTCAACGAACATACCAAAATGTATTGCATAGATATTTAAAAGTTATGAGCCCTCAAAGAGGAACAATTATTACGTCCGGTGACCGGACGTAGCTCTACGTCCGGTCACCACTGAGTTACTCGGTATTTGCTCGGTATTACTAACTGCTAAGTATTGCTTGCAATAATGAGAAATATCGCTCTGTGAAGACCAATACCGAGTAATACCGAGCAATACCGAGTAATACCGAGTTTTTCTAAAAAAAAAACTCGGTATTGCTAAGTATTTGCCTTCACATAATGGTATTTCTCGTATTGCCGAGCAAAATCGACAAATACGTGATTTTGTGCATGCTACGTGGCACGATCTCAGTGTCGGCCGAACGTAGCTCTGCGTCCGTTTACCGGACCAAATAAAAGTTCCTCAAAGAGTAGCATTTATTGATATTATATGTTATCTAAAAATTATAGCTAAAATTAGGTGCAATTAATTAGCATAATTATTAATATTCATAGATTAATGATAAAATTAATTTGTACTCTGTGAGGACAAATCATTAAATCACTCCATTAATGTTTTATGTCTCATATTTTAATTTAAATATTAATGCACTTTGAAATATGAAAAACGTCAAAATTTCAACCCATTCAATAGTGTTTCATAAGATGCGGAAAATAAGCATTGGATTTTTCTGCTTACATACGACCTATTCAGCAGTGTTGTTGGTTTGTCGCATCACCCACCTAACCATTACTTTTAATCTTAGCATTTTTATCAAAATATAGATTTTTATAGGATTATTTTGCAAAATGGTATGACTAAAGCTAACACAACGGTTTTGCTCTTAAGAAATTATTCCGGAACCGTTCGGATAGGCTGCGTATTTAATGAGTATTTGTATGAATATTTAATAAATACTAATTAAATATACAATAAATTAATAAATATTTATCAAATACTCATAAAATACTCAACAAATACTTACAAAATATTTAGCAAATACTCACAAAATACATAGTAATACTCACAACTGAGTATTTGCTGAATATTTAATAAGTATTTTCAAATACGGACCGAACAACTGAATGTGTAGAGATCAGACACATAAAATCGTTCATTTTTATCTCCGTGAATAGTAAACAATAAAAGCAAAATATAATGTTCATTGTGTCCGATCTCCTCACGTAATAATCTCTCATCAAATTTCATTTAGATTTTGTTTGAGATAATTTTTTAATTATTTTATAAATAAATTTATTAAAATAAATTTTTTTATTAAAAATTTATTTCAGAAAATAGTAAAAAAAACTACCAAAATGAAACAATATAAAAGAAAAATATTTTATTAGAATTTTGTTTATTATAATTTATGCGTAATAAATTTTCAAGTTAATGAATTGACTATAAAATCGTTGAAAAAATAATTTTTCAATTATATTTATATTATGCCCATTTTAAAAATATCTAATAAATTAAAATTATGTTCGTCAAATTTAAATTAAAATATTTTATTAATTAGCTCGAGTTGTTTCTTGACTTGACCAAACCATTTTATCATTTTATGTAAAAACAATTTTTTAACAAACTTCTTTCGTCAAACGTTCCCCGATTCCACCAAACTATTTGGTGATGCTAAAGAAACTCAAAGTCAAAGGCAATATGTGCCCACCAGTTGCCCATGGGTGGGCGTGGGTCTGTTTTATCTCGGTCCCTCAAATTTCTCTTATTTCTTCGGGGTAAAGCTGTAATTATGACGAGGCGCGTCTCTGACGGCATCGACCAGCGGAACCGGCGGAAAAAGACGTGCATATTTTGGAATAAATTTTTAATATCTTTGTTTTTTTGCATAAAATTTAGGAGCCGTAATAAAAATTTAATAAAAAAGATATTTGATTCCCATTAAGTTATTTAAGAATTAAGATTATATTATCAAAATCAAAGTTCAAACAACTGCTGGTGAATTAATTTATTTGACTGAAAACATCGCATTGACTTTTCCATAATTTTTTATTTCTTAATCATTTTTTAAATATAAATTTATGCAACAAAGTTAAAAAAAAATAAAAAATGTTAAAATATAGCATATTAGTAATTATAAATGGTATGTTAATAAATATAAAAATTCTAATAAGTTAAGAAGGCTTATTTACTGAAATGATGGGAATAATAAATATGCAAATTTTGATTTTAAATAACTGAACAAGTAAAAAAAATTAAATATAATAGCAATTCATTTAAAATAGTAAAATTGATGACATTTTAAGATAAATCAATGATTTTAAATAAATTAGAGTAATAAAGTAAGTAAATTTACTTCGTCTCTCCTTACGCGCCGCTCCGTAGATATACATATTCTGAGATTATGCTGATGAGTCTAAGCTCTGCTCCTCTCGGTCGCAGAGAAAGCTTCTAACTTTCTTGTTCTTTTTCCTCGCTTTCTCTCTCACATTTTCTCCGGGCAAGCATATTATTAGAGCGGTTTGGATCTGCAAAAGTGTGGCTTGGCTAGTTGGCTCCTTGATACTTTGTTTATAGTCTTCAATGGCGGTGCTATGAGAAGGTAGATTTCGCTCGGCATTTCCACCTTTTTGTGTTGTTTATGCTTTCTCTCTCTCTCTCTCTCTCTCCGAGTACAGATATCTACATATTTTTGAATAATTATGCAGGCCGTGCGAGTGGTTTGCTCATATATTACTTCTTTTCGTCTCAGAGGAAAACAAAATTCTGATTTTGCTTTCACTTCGAGTTCTATTCGCAAAATTGTGTGTGTGTGTGTGTGTGTGTTTTTTTTTTAATTTAATTGTGTTTTCTTGGGCGTGCTTTAAAATTATGCTTTCGTGGAGAGGACAACCGCTGTGAATTTGCTGTTGGAAACTTTGGATGATATTGCATATGCAGTATAACTGTATATGATTCACTGAATGATATGTTGGCTTTCTTTCTTTTTTTCTTAAGAGATAAGTTAGGGTTTAATTTAGAAAGATTTAGGGAGCAAGGGAACTGGTTCATCTGCTTGATTCTGAGTTTACAATTCGAGTGGTGGTTTATTAATTAGTTATGTGGATGGTGAACTTAGATTGTTAGGTTAAGGAGCAGAAGCATTTAGGGAGTGTCTTTATTCCTCGCATTCATTCCTTTTGTTGGTTTGTTATGTTAATTTAGTTGGGAATTGGAGTTTTTAATTGCCTGCGGTTACTGCTGGACTGAAGGGTTTTTTTTTACAATTTTTCATGATTTATATAGTTAGCTTGCAACTTTACTTAATTATTTACATGGATTTCTCTATATATTTGATTTCTGTAGTGCTATAACTGGGTCTTTTAGAGCCATTGTTTCTGCTGTAAAAAATTGTTTTGTGATTATTTTGATGAAACAATTTCAACAATGCTCTCTACTTGATTATTAATTGCAACAGTATTATTTCCTTTATCTTTCCTCATTCGTTCTCTACTCATGTACTTTATTTGGCTAGATGAAGTGTGGAGAAAATTACAGGAGGTCCAAATAAATTTGCGCTGGTTTGTAACTACATTTATTCCTCTCCACCGTAACCTCTTTTGTTTAAATTAATTAGGTGTGTACGCCCATTCTGAGTCATGTTAATCAAGCCATCATAAAGACCTAAACTTGATATTGGAAGTTGTTGATTGTGGATCGTCCTAAATTACCTCAACTTGAAACTCACCAAGCTTTAAGTCTACATCCTCAAGTCACTTAAGACCAAATCTTCTTAAAGACTGACCAAAAATTAGTTCTTGCTTAGACCTCAGCACTAAGTTACTAAAATCGCTCGAGTGACTCACAAAGTCACCCACTTGTCAAGACCATTCGCCCAAAGAACCCAACTAATAGCCCTAGGCACTCATTAACCAACTAGAGGTAGTATGCCTTAATCCAAAATTTGCTCAAAGTTCTAGACTAGGAGTTAGCTACAAATTAGAGTTGTTCTCTATACAACAAGCTATATTTAATTACAATAATGTTTTTTTTTTTAAATTATGCTATGTATCTACTTTTGTACCACTGATCTTGGCCCTCACTTTTTAGTTGGGGCTCGATGGTTAAGCGCAAAAGTCATGTGATCTTCTATTTCATGCTGAAAGTCTAATTGAAGTCTCTCTAGCATTCTTATTTGAATCTCTCTGTGATTTGCCTTTGTGAATCAATTTGACTTTCCCTTCTATATTCAGGGGGTTCAATAAAGTCATCCATAGGCTAATTCACACAAGACTTGGCCTCTCTCTCTTCCTGTATATGCTTTTGGTTCCATCCATATCTCTAATTGGGTATTGGTTTATTTTTACAGATAACATTTGATCCAACATCCTCTTAGGTGTACCTAGAAGCAAAGAAAATCATGTTTTCTTTCAAACCTTTCACAATGAAAATATTACTAAATAGAGTGCAGGGTCCACTTCAACTTTTGTTCTTGAAGGAAGATGATGAAGGAGGTGGCACTTGCAAAGCTGTTCGGCATCCCTTGAATAGAGACAAGGCCAAATAAGTTTAGGATCTTGATGATTTCAGGGAAGATATGTAATCGTAAGCCAAGTTTGAACTTATCTAGATAGAAGCACAATATTGAGTCTGAAAGTGAGTTAGAGAACTCACAAATATTACAAATTCTCACAGTAAATCCCTCTCTATGATGTAGTATGCAGAAGTAGCTTTATGTTCCTCTCATTAGCAGAAGAAGTTAACCTCCACTCTGATTTGATTTGACAATGCACTTGAACTGTTCATCATGGAACTAATCACGTTTGTATCATGAACTTTCGAGAAGAAAGATGAAAGAAGAAGATAGGAAGCATGACCGGCGCAGTAGTCATAAGGAGTAGGGGCACGAAGAATGTAGACAGATAAATAATTGAGAGAAAGTTTTATTTGTAAGCAAAGAATGCGGAAGATCGCAATCGACATAAGCCATGTCAATGTGATAATTTCATGCGAACTCTCATCACGGTCATTAATGTGATTGTCAAATATCCGAATCAAGATTTTCAATCATTATTTTTCATATTTTGGAGTCTGAGCGTTCAACTTCCTTTGGTCCACTGAATGCATACATCATACTCAATCAATGACTTCATATTGAATAAACTTCACAAACTAACTTCGTCATCATTTCGACGTCATCATCAAGGAAGACTTCATATTATAACTGTGACTTCTAACTTCATGACAGCATTATGGCTTCAAGTTAAATAATCGAATGACAATTCCAATAAAAGCTGACTACATCATAAAGTCTAATTTCTCAAAAATATCAAGTAAACTAACATCTAGAAGTAAGATTTATACTTAGAATTATAACACATGCAATTTCTCAAAACTACAAAGTTAGTTCGTAGGAGGATAACTTGTGTGACCAAGAGGATTCTTGAACTAGTTATAGAATGATTTTGAAGCTCGTGGCTCAGCAAATCCTTGACCCAAGGGTGACCTTAGGAAGAAGATCACTAGTCTGAATCAACTGGCACTAAATAAACTGAACACCTGTGTCTGTGTTGTTCTCGAGATAGTTGATTATCCTTCATCTAGCAAGTTTTCCCTACAACTACACTTCAAGTGCTTCGTTTGTTTTCCATTCATGAAAGTGTCCAAATAGAAGGTATTAATGTCCCTATGACCGACAGTTTTTTATCAACGAATGTGGGATGGTTTTCTATAAATGCACTGAACTATTGCATGTGAGAAATTGAGTTGAGTGATTTTTATTTACTTACCTGCTAATACAGTTGGCTTGCTGAAATTGCAGATTTAAATTCGGTGATGAGGTTTAATCATTCATTCAGGGAATAGCACTCTCTAAGCTCTGGAAATTCCGCACACATTATTTTTTTCTTTGACATGCTACTTAACACATCTATAGCTGTTGGCTATTGAGTATCCCCTAAAACTGTGCACATGTTCAGCTTATGAAGCACAACCTCAAAACTATTGGTACAAAGTGTTCCATGAAACATGAAGAAGTTGTCTGGAGGTCTCATTTTAGTGTCTTTGTTTGTGTTACTGCTTCTAAGATATGGCATGGTGGAAAATCCATTAGCGGAAATGTCACTGCCTAGTCTTTTCTCTCGAAACAATTCTCAACATCTGCATTGGGTGGCTGCTGGAGTAGATGAACTAGTAGTAGTTCCAAATCCAAAGAATGAATCGGAAATAATCTCAATTGGTTCATTAATGTCCCACCTTTCCATTCCACTGAATCTTTCTGCTGAAGAACTACTGTCTCTGCAGACATGGAAACATATGGTTCACTTGGTTAATCATTCCGAAGGCCTAACTCAGGCAGTTGAGGCTGTCAAAGAAGCTGTAACTGCATGGGAAGGGCTCATGTCGTCCATTGAAGATGAAAGGCTAGCTAGATCTGGAAATAGAAGTAAAAGCAAAAGGCTAAAAGAGAAACAGTGTCCTTATTCGGTGATAAAAATGAATGCTTCAGAATTTTCTGTTGGTGATTTCAGGCTTAAGATTCCTTGTGGACTGGTTCAGGGCTCTTCCCTGACTGTCATTGGTACTCCTCAAGGAATTCTGGGAAATTTCAAGATTGATTTGATGGGAACAGCACTTCCAGGTGAACAAGATCCTCCCATAATCCTGCATTACAATGTTCGGCTTCTTGGTGATAAAATAACGGAAAATCCAGTGATTGTTCAAAATACGTGGGCTTTAGCTAATGACTGGGGTCCAGAAGAGCGTTGTCCTTCACCAGATCCTGATAATAATAAGAAAGGTATTGCTAGTGTCATCTGATTTGAAGTTAGATTTACTTACAAAGGGGCCTTTTCTCTTTACTCATCTGTCTATAGTTCTTCATTCTTGTAGATCAACTATATGATGGTTTCTAACACAGCAGGTTGTTTCAAGTTTTTGGTTTTTATTGTACTCACTCTTTATACATTTCTACATGCACAGTTGATGATTTAGATCAATGCAGTGAAGTGGTGGGCGGAGATGATAAACAAAGCTTCACTTCTAAACTATCTTCTCATACTTCAGCAAAGAACCTTTCTAAAGATGAGGGCATTAAACCCAGAAGATATTTTCCTTTCAAGCAAGGATATCTTGCAATTTCTACGCTGAGAATAGGGACAGAAGGGATACAGATGAGTGTCAATGGGAAGCATATAACTTCCTTTGCTTTCCGTGAGGTACCTTCATTACTGAATAATGAATATTTTCGGAGATTACCTTCGAAGTACTCTTCCTAACTCTTTCCTTTTGTTTTGGTCCATTTTTCCTGTTTCCTTTTGCTGTACCAGGCCTTGGAGCCATGGCTCGTTAATGAAGCAAGGATTTTAGGAGATATTAAACTGTTATCAGTCCTTGCTAGTGGCTTACCCACTTCTGAGGATTCTGAGCATGTCACGGACTTGGAATTACTCAAGTCTGCTCCTTTGCCCATTCATAAAGATGTTGATTTGTTCATCGGTGTATTTTCCACTGCTAACAATTTTAAACAGAGAATGGCTGTTAGGAGAACTTGGATGCAATATCCTGCTGTTCGTTCTGGAATTGTTGCTGTGCGCTTTTTCGTTGGTCTGGTAAGTTATTAATGATGTTAACTTTCAGTTGTCCCTGATATGAACTCAAATTTTATTGTTTGCAAGTTCTTTCTTTAGCTGCTTGTGGAATTTTATTGGAGTTTGATTTTCACTCAAATTAGTCAGTATCTTATTGTGGTTACTTTGCTAATCTTAAACTTCAAAACTGAGTTCCTCAAATCTGTCATTTATGGAAGTAGTTGGTTCACAGAAATACTGCATAACTTTTACAAGTCTTTTTCAGTACTAAGAATAATGCTGATGTCGTACCATCTACCATGTGAAGAGCTGCATAAACTTTAATTTCTGTGATAAAATAGTTTTCTAGTTATGAATGTATCAAATTTTTTACAGCACAAAAACCAACTGGTGAATGAGGAACTATGGAATGAGGCAGGGACTTATGGAGACATCCAGCTGATGCCTTTTGTGGACTACTATAGCTTGATTACTTGGAAGACTGTAGCTATCTGCATCTATGGGGTGAATTTATTATTTTCATCATCATCATCATTATTATTATTTTGATTTGAAAGTTGAAACTAACTAATTTGTATGGCTCCTTACTTTTTTTTTGGGTTTATTGTAGACAAACATAGTATCAGCCAAGTATGTTATGAAGACAGATGATGATGCTTTTGTCCGAATAGATGAAATGCTTTCTTCCCTAAATAGGACAATTGTCACACATGGGTTGCTGTATGGGCGTATCAGCAATGATGATCTACCTAATCGAAACCCTGACAGCAAGTGGTATATAAGCCCTGAGGTAGTTTTCTATATCTGCTATACACTTTTCTTTTTACAAATCTCATATAATAGTTCTTATAACAGAAGGTTTGGATTGGCTTTCCAAAGCTAAAACTATCACTGGTGTGTTCTATGTATGTGGCTTAAGATGTTGTAGGTGTCTTACTCTAAGAAGGCTTTAGACCATGCATTAGCTTCATTCAACTAATGCTATGTTTGTTGTAGCGGTGGTTCTTCCTCACTGCTGTGGCCTTTTGCTTCCCTGGCCCTGGCTTAATAGCAAAACCAGATTTCTAATGTGAGGGCGTGAAAGGATTTACTCCCAAAAAATATGGAGGGAAAAGAGTCTATAATACAAATAGTTACCTGAAAATTTAAAAACATGAATTTCATAATGTATATAACTAATCACATAGTGTTTTTCTCAATCTACGGTGGATGAGAGCCACTCTCAATCTACGGTGACTGGGAAGTTGCTTTTTGATTACCCAGGCCACTGTAATATACCATACCCAAAGACATCTAGTTGATAGTTGAAAGGAGCTAAATTATACAACTATACATACCTTATTTTAAATTTGGTCCTTCTCTTTTGGTAAAGATAGCCTTTTAATTTACCTGACAAGGTAGAATTCAGGTTCTAATGCTAGCATAATTTCTTGAAGGAATGGCCTGGTCAGAGTTATCCTCCTTGGGCTCATGGACCTGGCTATGTGGTGTCCAAAGACATAGCAAATGCAGTCTACATGCAACATAAAAGGGGACGATTAAAGGTTAGATGTCCTCTATTCTTTAACTATGTCTGCCTCTTTCAGTTTATGGTTTTTTTTTTTTAGATTGTCCCAAGTTTTTACCTTCTTTTTCTATGTTGTTTGTCATTACAAGACAGTTAATAAATTGTTAATTCTTTATATTTATCTGAATGAAAACTAAATTGATATGTTCATGCACAGATGTTCAAACTGGAGGATGTGGCAATGGGCATTTGGACGGACGATATGAAGAAGAGAGGAATGGATGTTAAGTATGTCAATGATGACAGGATTCATATTGGAGGATGTGAAGAGGGTTACCTAGTTGCCCATTACCAGCAGCCCAGGGAGATGCTGTGCCTTTGGCAGAAGCTTCAGGAGACGAACCAGCCTAGATGTTGCGGTGAATGAACTGATCACCAAGAAGCATTTTCACAATGTTCAGAGAACCGTGATCACTTTTCTGTATGTTAGCATACAGAGGACTCTCATCGACGAGTTTTCAGACTTCACAACATATGTATACTAACATTCAGGACAGTCTGACCATTATTCGACGACAGAGATGATTGCACTCAGGTTAACTTGTTCTTTTTCCCCCATTTGGTAGCTATTTTTAGGCTTTTAGCAATAGATTTATTGAGGTAATGCTCAGAGGGTTGTATTTTCTTCTTATGTATGATGGTTAGGCTCACTAATGTAGATGTGGGAAAGCAACCATATAGATGAGGAGGCTTGCTCATCCCTGAGGTTTTTATGCTCTGTAAATATAGTTTTTCATAGTGGAAATGAAATGATACTTATCTGTGAAATGTGTGATCTTGCACTTACTTTTCAATTAGTAATGTCGTTCTATTTGAATTCAAATATTCTATTTACTCTCTTAACGGTCATTTGATGGTTGCATTTATAATATAACGCATTTTAAATAAATGCAAATGAATTATTCTTATGTTTGATTAGGTGAATTTTATATATAATTTGAGCGTATTTGAAAATCGTTACATTCGATCGATTTCTAAAATTATTTAAACCCATTGCGCCCTCTACTTGACATTGCCGACCCCACAATTGTTGTCACCTGTCATCTTTCATCGTCATTGAGCTTTGCACTGCATTTATTTTACTTCAAGCCAAATAGAAATAATAATAATAATCATTTATATGAATTTCGCTTTTTGCTATGTTCTCAGAAAGTATGTTGAACTATTCTCCAAACAAGATAGAAACTTAATTATTTTATTTGGCTTATTACATTTCTTGGCATATCATAGTTTGCAGTTGACCATAATAACCAAAACACAACCTTAAATGAACAGCTTGCTTCTCTGTCTTTTCTTCTCTTAAAAACAACTCGAAAAGAACATAGAACTACACTTTTTTATGAAAAATAAATAAAAAATAAGCTTTGATTAGAAAATTTACACGACTCTTAATGCAAATTACAAAGTAAATGAAGCTTTCCTTACTTTCATAAGTTAGAATTACAAATCTAATCACATTTCAAAAAATGATCAATCATAATATAATAATAAAAGAATCAGCAAAAGCTGCCCTCAACCAACTTGACAAAATCATCGAACCCAATGAGCCCATCTCCATCTTCATCATACAATGCAATCATCTTCTTACATGAATCCAACTCAAATCCTGCTTCGCCTTCCCCTCCAAATCCCAAATTATAAAGAACTCTCTGCAACTCCTCTGCATCCACATGGACATCGCCATTCTCATCAAAAACTGCAAAGGCTTCCTTTGCTTCATCCAAGCTCGGTTCTTGATCCTGAAACAGAGCAGTAATTTCTTCTGTCTTACATACCGTCTTCTTCATGAACTCATTATCATGGAAAGGAAGTCCAATATTTTTCATGACATTGTTAATTTCCTGCATGCTAATGCTGGCTTGATCCTCTGTTTCAGACTCTGCTTTCTTTGAAGGAAAAGATAGGAGTTTTGAGGAGAGTTTGCGGGAACAAGAGAGGAGGATGAAGAACCATAGATTAATCTCTGTTGATAGCTTCTCCATTTCTTCTTCTGCTAGCTTTCTGTGTTGATATTTATAGTTAATATAATATATGTTTAAAGTGCGACTTTTGTTCTTTGTGTGGGAAAAGCTTGAAATTATTTCCCAAAAAAAAAAAAAGCTTGAAATCTAAAGGCAACCGTTGCATCAAACATTGAAAGATGAGTTTATTGGCACCGCCATAGCAATTTAAGATAACACGCAAAATAATATAAAATAAACTAACTTAATGATATTCAAATCAAAATAATAAAAAAAATAAAGTTTTAAGAAACTGCAATTGAATTATAATCAAATAATATGAAGCCCGTTGACTGTCACAATGCGGTGATTGGTGGTGCAAACGTGGGTGCGACAAACACCTCTCGTTCAAATAAAAAATCTTTCTATGAAATCTATGCTAGACGTTATTGTTCTTTGAAAAAAATAAATAAATAAATAATAGTGAAATATTTCTTAAATATATATGATTTTTCAAGAAAAAGATTTTGTGTCAGAGTTTGCTGTCGTAACTCAAGTTTACTATAACAGAACAATATTAAAAGCTATTAAATTTATTTTAAGATTAGTGTAAGATGGAATTTTAATATATAATTAATTTTAAATTAATTCAATAAATTTTAATTCTATTTTAATATAATTTATATTAAAATATTTTGACCTTTTTTATTTTTTGTATTTTTTCTCCCCTTCTGTGGCAGAAAGACAGAAACACATTCCAAACATCCCAAACCTGTTTGCATTCATGCAGGCCAATCACCCATGCCCACACACACGCAACGTGACTCTCGCCCACACTCATGCAGGCCACACTCGACCTGATCCCCAGCGTTAGGGGTATTTTAGGTTAGCAGATCGGGTCGGGTCAACCCGATAACCAGACGGGTTGGATCTAAGTTAGAATTTTCGACCCGTTTGCAAAATCGGATTGGGTTATGATCAACTCGATTGGACCCCAATCAGATCCGAGTTAGACTCGAACCTAACCCGAATATCCATTTGACAATCACACAACATACTCTTCCTCTGGCTGTTGACATCAGAGGCAGCCTGTGGACTATAGAGATGGCTGATATGAACGACGTCTTCGAAGAAGGACGTCGAAGAAGATAGCAGCCTTAGGAACATGGAGGCTTCGATGACGATTGAGGAGGATGGAACAAAAAAGGTTATAATAATCACGAGAGTGATGGGAGCAGATATATAAGGTTTTATCTCAGTCATATGATCATTCATCCAAAAAGGAATATTCTAAGCATGTTAAATCCTATGCAATCCTTCTTCAGATATCATAATCATAATATATATTGACTCAATATTTGACAAACATAATAAAGTTTTAACGTATCAATCTCCCTCATTCAGCATGTTCATCCAAATATTCCGAACAGATTAGTGGAAGGCAGATCAGCTTAGAATTTAAAATATAAAAGCACATAGAAGGATAATTTATTGAGCATAATATTAACAGTTTATTAAATAGTGAGCTGCATTGGAATTATTTACAGGCTATTCCATATACATGGGGGCTTATGATCGAGATAGTGGGTACATATGTCATGTTAATATTCACATCAGAGAAACCTGCATGTGAAATCTGCTCTCCTGTTTCTCGTGTGAGATGACATCCATCGGCAAAAAACTGCTGGAGCGGATCAAGAATACTTTGTGTAAAACGGAGAAAAGACCCATCTTCACAGTAATAAAAGGATTGGATTTACAAGGACCGTGATTCGACTTCTCAATACAATTAGAAGATTGCAAAAGGAAATTAGATTAGACAGAGTACCTTGAGCAGCTACATGTTCTATAAATAAATATTGACCGCCAACCTTTAACACCCTTTTCACTTCTGCATTCCATACATAAAGAATCATAATAGATTTAACATGGATATTCTATTTAATATACCAGAAAACTTGCAGCTTTAAAAAAGTAGGAAAAGTGAATTCAGGTAACAGAAACATGCATGAGTTGTGTGTTGGAATGATAAAACCTGCAATGACATTTCCAAGAGGTTTGAACCTAGAGATAATTGGACAAAATTTGTTTCTATTCAGTTTTGAATACATCAAAAACATCTTTGTTAAAATCAAAACAATCACCAAGAACAACATACTGGCAAACAACATCTGCAGGCATGTATTTAAGCTCCAGTAGGTACAGCTGTGCTGAGGTTGTGCTTTTGTAGTGGCGTGCGAGATAAAAGTATCATACTCTTATATGGAAATGCGAGCTCCTCCATAACTCAATCCGTATATTCATCAAGTTATAGGTAAGTGCTAAAGGTAAATTTATAGGCATGTTTATCAAATTCATCAAATTTGCTTTTGAAAAAACCAAACGAAACTTTAGTTTTATCCGTATAAGAATGTCATGAGAGTACTACATAGCTCAGAATCTAAGAAGTCCATCCTAAACTTGCAATGGTATATGATAAAGCCTTCATAATTAAGTACAAAGTTTCAATATATAGCCAACAGGCTTGAAGAAAGATGTGTAGCTCTCTAATAAACGCAACTGAAAAAGCCTTTAAAAAATTTATAATTTTGAATGTGATATAGCCAACAACTCTAAGCACAAATACTCAAGTGTTTTCTACCATGAACATGAAAACAACAGTGTCCAGGAAACCAAAAGTTCAGAGGAGACGTAAGGGTTTGAGTGATTTGACCATGGATTAATCTAGGAGGTCATGCATTACAAGTGGTGTTAAATTTCTGCGATCAATTAGAAGGCTTCCATGATTAATTAAAATTTTCTTTCTTTCACCGATGGTTAATGCCATCCTAATTTCAAGATTTCTCATGCCCATCAAAAAAACAGGGTATGCACAGAAAATAAATCTAAATAAAGAACCAAATACTAATAAGAATTATTGAAAAGACAAGAACAGGAAATCTGCTACCTTGTAACGTCAAATTGACATCCTTAACAGAACATAATACCAGTGTGCCAATAACAGCATCCATTGTACCATCTTCCACAGGTAAATCTTCTCCAACCTACAAGGAAATACAAGGAATAGATATGCGAGCGGCGGCGAAAGAAGAAATCGGAATCCGTTGGGTAGAAGAAAGGAGTGGATAAGAGAGAAGTCTTTAATTAAAATTCATCAATCAACGGATTCAAAATATAAACTAGGAATCCCTATTCCTATAAATAGGGTAACACATATATTTCAAATATTTTAAAATCAAATATAATCCTAAATAATTTAAAACTCAAACCAAATATAAGTAAAAAATAAATAATGCTAATTTTAGTTAAAATAAGCTCCAACATATAGATATAAACCTAGTCCTAATTTATACCTAGCCCTAATTTATTATGTGCATCGATCCACTTGGACTTGATAAAACTCTTCACCTGAAGAGTTACAGAAAAGGAATTTGCTTGGAAGTCTAGTGGCCATGGACGATAAGGTAAATGAACTAACTCATGAACATCTTTGAAAATTTAATATGCACATGCTAGACATGAAAAACAAAGTGTGGAGGCTTTGGATCCTAATATTCCAAAGTATCATGCATCTTCTTAAAAATAATCTCAAAGAAAATCTCTGTTTTGGTTATAGTTATGCAAGAAATTAAAGTGAAAAAGACTGAAATATGAAAATCAAGGAAGTGCCTCGAGCGCCGCAACACAGAAGGCTAGATTATGGCACCGCAGTGCCAATACCAGAGTATCGTGGCGCCCATAGCCTCGAAAAAATTCCAAAACAAATCAGCGCCACTGTTTCACATACAAAAGCATTGCAGCGCCACCAACTCCCGAAGAAAGGAAACGAGCACTACATCGGAGATGTTCTCTATAAAATTGGAATTAATTCAACACCATTGTGCCGCCTCATGGAGCACCCCAACGCTACTAAGCGTCGCAACATTCGCAGACAATCTGACACTGAAACACTGAACTAGCGCCGCAACGCCAAATCGCTACAATTCTACGGCAGAGAAATTAGAGGAGTTCATTCAGGAAACGTCGCGTTGATCCAGCCCAGCACCGTGACGAAGAAAAGTAAGCTGCGCTGAAACGTTAGTTCACTTTTCAACGCCTCGGCGCAACCTGTTCAAGCGTCGTGGCACCAAAGACATTTTTTGTATCGATCAGGAAACCGCTACTATTTGTAATTGCTTGTAAAAGCTATTCTGTGTGCAATCTTACACATTTAAACTCTTGTATTTCATTTTTATTTATAAAATGAATGTTGTTTTGAGTGAATTCAATTTCATGGTTGGCTGATTAAGTTTTGGAGTTGTGACGTGTATTGATGCATGTTTTTTCTTAAGTAGACTCTAGTTTGCATAATGATTGAATGTTGTTTTTAATTACTCTCATGCTTAATTTAGTTTTTGCATTGGTCATGATTGAACTTAATACCTAGTATGAATCATTGCCTTGATAGAGGAATGATGGAACAAATAGGAGAATTGAAATAGAAAACTTTCATGCCCATACATAAGATGAATAAGATTTTGGAGTCTAAGGAGATATAACAATTGTAGTAGGGTGAAAACCTTGCTTCGAACTCATACAAGCTCGACAAAGATCTAAGGGTTTATATGCTCTAATTCACAAGATAACGTAGAAGAGTCAGCTTAAAAAAATATTGCATCATTTGCCATCATAAGTTCAAGACATTTTCATTTACTAAATTTTAAATTTAAGCATTTGCGATAGCTCATTAGAAAATAATTTCTCTTTAGATTTGGTAGTGAGGCCTGCAATGTTTTATGGTGCTGAATGTTGGCCATTAAAAGAGAAGCATAATACTAAGTTAAGTGTGGCAGATGTTGTTGTTGTATTTGGTAAGATAAATCTTGCAATTTTACTAGATAGTAGTAAGGAATTTTTAAGGATAGAAACTCCTCGTTGGACTACATTTACTCTAAACTTTATTACTTGATCAGTGCATGCACTTGCATATCATTCAGGCTTAGTATGATTTACATTTGAGCTTATCTTTATATTGTATGCTAGATCACTATCAGTGTGGCAAGTAACAAAAGTGACTAGAGACTCCTTAGGTATAATAAACCAACCTTTGTCAATGTCTCTTATTCAATCTCTAGTGTAAGCTCATCTTTAGGCATAAGATCATCAGGCTCATAATCATGCTCTGGTTCAACCACACCATCATACTTACTTGGGTATACAATGACAAGACAACAATGGGATTGATGGAGTTATTGAAGTATGAGAAATTATATAGCATGCAATAAGCCCGAAATTTGATATTTCAATCATTACACTCTCATAGCTATCACACATAATTGAATGATTTCATACTTGCATCATCTAGAACTTTTAAGCAATATTTTGTCCAATCAACTCAAATAAGATCAAAATCAATTCCAAATAATATTCCTTAAGTGGGTGTTATGGCCTTAATGAAATATTGATTTCGCAGTGAATATTGATAATTTTGCACCTCCACAAGTGAGTCTTTCATTTGTCATGCATCTTCCAAAAATAAGCTATTTATTTTGAACAATTCAACTTCCTTTGGTGTATTATGTTGCAACTCGGGCTCCCGAGCTTTTGTGTGAACTAACATTTCAAGTACATCATGCATCATTCAATGAAGATTTAGGGCTCAAAATTGGGTAGAATAGGATATGCTGAAAGAGATTGTAAAATTCATTAATGTATTTTTTCAATTTCTTGAGTCATATCCTGTAAAGATGTATGCTATCCTGGTGACCATGCACACACACACTCATCGGAATGAGATAGAGAGAAAAAACCATAAAAGTAATTTAATGAACTAATCGTATTGTATGATCAGCTACTCATAAAATTATTAAAATGGCTAATTGTGTAATTAAAGCTATTTGAACTAATCGTACTTGACGATCTTGATTATACATTACGATCAGTTGAAATCATGATCTTAGTCGTCAATCATAATTTAAGTAATATTTTGAAATACAAAATATATACTAATCGTACTTTACGATGGGTATCTTATTGTACGATTTTATTAAATCATGTCTGAATTAACATATAATTAGGGATCGATTTTGGATTAATTGGTCCAGTAAGATTGTACTGTACGATTGAACAAATCAAACTGTACGACCAGATCCTTGCATGGGACGATAATTATCATCGACAATCATATGGGACGATAATCCAATTTGATTGTACCAATCGTGCCAGACGATGAGCATATCATATAGGACGACCAGCTCAAATACTTGAACTAGTCGTACAACTCCTTACTACTCATATAATACTAACAAGGATATATTGAACTAATCGTATTATACGATCAAAAAATCATATAGTACGATCAGAGAAGACAGAATTGAGTTTTTAGGGTTTGTAGGTTTGAGGGAGTGTGAGAGGGAGTTCCACACAGTTGCTCCGGCGAACTTACACCTAAGTTCCTCCATGCGTCAAGGTTTTCTTGAGGGAAGTTTTGAGAAGAAGATTCTTTGGTGACAAGGATTCCAAGTTATCTGTCTCACCTTGTGGGTGAAAAGGATTATAGGTTCTCTGCATCAACAGAAGAGTGAAAAGGATTACAGGTTCTCTGCCTCACCAAGAGGGTGAAAAAGAATTACGATCCTCTGCCGTACCAGGTTGGTGGAAAATATTTTATAAGGGCTTTTCCGCCTAGCTGTAGGAGCTAAAGGAGAGACACTATCATGCTAGTGCAATATTCCTCAAGAGAAATCTGAATCTAACGAATAAAAACCTCTTATAACTTTTCTTATAACTTTTCTTATAAATTAAAAAGCATATAAAAGGATTGAATTATTTGAATTGGACAAAGTTTCTTTTGGGTTACCAGGAGATTTGTTTCATTAATTAAAGAAATAAAGAAAATGGAACAAGTCATATTATTCTTACAATTTGAAAGATATTCAACAAGAAAATAAGAAAATACAAACATGCCAAATCGTATTATCTAACTAATAATTAACTATCATAAACAAAATATTTACTCCGAGTGTCTGAATTAAAGTGGCTAGATATATCGAAAAAAGTAACAACCTGTCTATGTATCTTTTTCATATGTTTATGGGCAAGTGGGTGACAATGATGACACTTTATGATAATATATTTCATATAAATTCCAAAAGTTTACCCCATACTAGATTAAAAGACAACAGAGCTCATTCAAAAGATAGTTTCTGACTTCTTAGGTAGGAATTGAAAAAAAAAAAAATTCAGTCAAGATATTATGACTCAAATTTAGTCATGATGGATTTCCTAATCATTGAATTTGCTCTGAGTTGAGCACAATACAAGAGTTGATTGATTGGTCATGTATTACAATCATCTCAAAATCAATTTAATAACTAGAAAATCCATCCTGACCAAATTTGAATAAGAATATCCCAACTTTTCTCTTTTGGAAAAACAACATACCCCTTGCATAAAAGTAAAGCTCGTTGGCAGTAACCCAGCCGCTAAAGCTGCGCCTCGAGCATATTTTTCCATTTGTTTATTTGGATCAACGCCAACAACATGAAGATCATCAGCATGTGCATAGTACTTGAAGTTAGGACCTGTGCCTACACCAAGCTCCAATACTTTCTTACTAGTTCCTGTAAAACTCCTAAAAAGGTCTTCTTTATAGCCTGCAACCTTCACCAAAGTGAAAGAAAGCATCTCAACTATAGAGTAAATACAACACAAACTACAACAGTATATGCAATACTAAGGCTTCTATTCCAGTGTTGTTAAGCCATAACTTCAAAAACAAATCAGATGGAACTGCTTTAGAGCCAATGCGTAAAAATTGTGGAGTGAAAGTGAAACAAACCAAATTAAACCAAAGCATCACCTGTCAATATCACTTGCAACCGATTCCTTAGGTCTTGGCATCATCAACTAGGAATTCATGCATTGCCAACTAGCTATGGTACGTTCCTCCATCAAAACCGATATGCTCAAGATCTTTTACTTAGGGCTGGTATGACTAATACCAAATCCGTGTTAACACGCAACTTACTTAAACCCCTGATAGCAAATTCACAAGTTGAGCTTCCTAATCCTACTCTTTATTGACATTTAGTAGGTTCATTGTAATATCTCATAATCATGAGGTCAGATATTACCTTTATTATAAATCAAGTGTGTCAACATATGCATAAGACTTCTAAATAGTGATTTTTTATGCTCTTAAAAAGTTATTTCACTATATCCAAGGTATGCAAAACTTTGGACTGTTGTTATATTGTGATTCACTTTCACTTAGAACATATGTTGACTATAACTAGGCTGGAGAACCACAAGATTGAAAATCAATTTCATGCTACTACAACTTTTTAACCAACCCCCCTATTTCCTCAAGTGTTAAGAAGCAACCCCATTATAGCTCGCTCATCAACAAAAGCATAATATCGCGCCTTAGCTTTAACCTCTTCTAAAATTATCTGGCGACAATGATTGCTTATTGACTTCAGCATTGATATTTCACCAAACATTCCACTGTATTGTACAATTGCAACAATGCTTTCATTATCGCTCTAGCCAACAATCATGTTTTTCATGCTCGAATCAAACATATAGAAGTTGATTTTCATTTTATCCTTGATTTTATCAAAGCCAAGCAAATTCAAGTTCGACGCATTGCTACTCAAGACTAGATTGCTGATACATTTATTAAGTCTCTACCTATCACTTGGTTTAAGACTCTACCAAACCAGCTGATAACAGCCAATGTTGCATCAACTTGAGGGGGCCTGTTAAAATATAGAAAATGTGATTAAAATGAGTTGCAAGAGGATGTTAATCCTGCAACAAAGGTGATTTTCATCACTCATTTATTTACAACTTTTCCATCAGAACCGTAGAGGAATAACAGAATCAACTCAGGTATGATTCTCCACCTTCCTTCTCTCTATATAAGAGTAACTGTTAATGTGATAGCGGGGTGAAAATTAATAGCAAAAATCACCTTATCTGGCTGCCTTCGGTTCTGCTTCTAGTGAGGCAGTTTTGAATATGCATTCTTCTGTTCTGCTTCTTTCTTCAACCCCATCCCAAACAGCGCAGAAGTTCATATCCCATTATAATGCTCATGTCTGTTGACTGGGGTGTAACATTCATCCCTCGACATCCTTCTATCCTTAAAATTTTCCCAATTTTATTTTGCTTTGGCATACAAGTGATACAATCTGTTATACTTGCAATGGATTGCATGGTATCAAAACGAACAAATAGAAGAGGGTAGCAGTGAACTAACCTCAGCTTCATAAGACCTCATGCCTTCCTCCATAGCCTTGGCAAATAATTCCTCATACCAATCTGGCCTCGCTGGACGAAACTTCTCCATAGAACCCTAGAGCAAGTTCCGCACACGGACCAAAAAAAATATATTAAAAACAAATGGATAAGAACTATTTTAGCCTTAAAAAGATTTCTCACATTCGCGTCAAGGGCTAAGCCATTCCCCGCTTTTACATAAACAAGAGGAAGCAGAGCTGCCCAAGCCGCCGCGCAATCCCCGATAAGATGCCTTCTTCCGCACGGGCAGCATCTACTAGTGCGAGGCAAGCGGCGGTGCATAGCCGCATATTTTTCTTCTGAAGTGTTCAATTCTTTGTGAAGGCAAGTTGCCGGCGAGGGTTTCAACGAGGTTAAGGTAGGCGACGAAAGGGAAAGGTCACGAAGGTAAAAGGGTGCAGCGCCGGAGGCGACGCCAACGGGCCGCATTTCCCGGCACTCCCAACCAGGATCGTTTTTAGTGCGCTTCGGCTGTGTTGCCTGCAAGTAGTGAAGTACGATTTTGTAAATCCAAATTTAGAGAATCATGTGGGATAAATTCAGAAAACTATTTTATATAATAAATATTAAATTTAATTAAATTATAGTAAATTATCTAACCATGTATTTTAAAGTTTAAAATTTTATGGTTGAAGTATTTAATTATATTTATTTTATTATAAAAATTTTAATTATAAATAATCTAACTAAAATGTCAACATATAATCAATTAGTAATTCGTTGAGCCAATTAAATAATAACATATTTTTAGAAAAACTAAATCATAAATAAAAATAATATTAATTAACTTAAAAGTATATATTTTTAATTAAGTAATATTAATTATTAAAATTTATTATGTGTTACAAGATTCATGGCAATAAAGAAAAATATAATTGATTTTTTTTTATTATATAAAGGTCCAACACATGCATACAAAAGTCGGAATACAACTCTAACTCATATGAAACTTAAGGTTATATTATATGTTAAAAAGCTTAAAGGAAAAAAAGTAAAATGTTTGGACCTATTAAAATTGCTTCACAAATATATCTTCTGGGTTACATAAACCTTATAAGCAATGGCATGAGTTTGCATGTTTGTTTGGTTATACTCCTTTGAGGAGGAGAGTATACTAAGAAGCTTGATATAAATCATGGTGTTAACAGCATGAGTCAAAAGTTAATGGTGTGCAGTAATCTTAAGGTCGATGACACACATTAACAATATTGTCAACAACAAGTGACAAAGTCAATGGGCATTAATGTAGGTTGAGGATCATAATGGTTGGAAGATCATAGTTTTGCAAGGAGGTCAAATGACTGTATTCAAGTGATAGAGATTAAAGGATCATAATTGAATAACAATTATTTGAGGATCACAGCCTAGCGACGAGAGATTGGGGATTGTAGTACAACAACAATTGTCAGAGAACCATATATTAAGCAAAGGTTGAATCACCATAACTAAGCAATTGAAGTTGGATAACCTTATCAAGGGAAGGATGTTGAAGAAATGTAATCGAGAGGTAGTGCTCGATAGTTTATAGTTGGGTGACCATGATTGGTCGGCTATAACAGGTAGAAGTTGGTCGGAGGATCTTACTTGGGTGATGGAGATAGCAGATCATAGTTAGAAGATGGTGGCCACAAAGTCATAGTCAGGAGATCGAGTTTAGAGGATTTTGTTAGAACACATAAGCTCATTGTATGCTATAATTTTGACAATCACATATATTATTGGCTAAGCAAATTCACATTTCAGTCTTGTGTGCATGGTATTTTCTTTATTCTAACATTTAAGGTAAAAGGCATCAGATAGTAATATTTAACAAGAGGCATGAATAATTAATGGAGCTCAAAATTGCAAAAGAAAAGTCCATAAAAAACTATTAGTGCATGTTTTTTTAGTCAATCTATGTCATAAGTGTAAATTGTTTAAAAAACAAAGCACACACTCACAAGTGAGAATTAAAATAAGAAAAAATGAAAATTAATAAATATCCCTTTATTTCTCTGAGAAATTATACTATACAATCTTGATTGTATTGTATTATCATTTATAACATTAATAATAAATCAAATGATCTTAATTAAAATGAAAATAGATAAATAAAAGAGAATTAATCGTACTACACGACATAATAGAACATGTTTGTTATTTTGAATTTTTATAAACAGGTAAATATAAATTTGAACTGATCGTATTGTATGAACTGATTTGTATTGTGCAAACTTTAATAATTTTTTCCTATTTTGAATCAACAAATCCATGAATCGAATCAAGATCAAATAAAGCTAAATATATGATGTCATATGATTTCTTGGAAGGATTCAAAGCCTAGACTTAAATTAACCACTCAATCATCAACAAAAACAGCCATAGCTACTCCAATATTCAAATAATAACAATTGTGCGATCACAATTCATTTCATCACATCTAAACAAATATGTGCGCGCACATTCATATATATATATATATATATATAATCGGTTTTACTTTTAATTTGTAAATAAAAAAATTTGAATTACAAAATAATACCTTTGATATGTTCTCAAAAATTTATCTTGATCGGGCAAGAATCTCGAGGCAAAAAGCTAGTTGGAAACTTCAAAAATTAAATCTAGAAGCACCAGAACTCCGATTTCAGCGAGCCTACAGTCAAACTGAGAGTCTCGGAAATACAAACGCAACGACACCAAGTTCAACCCAATCTGAGCCCAAATGAGTCCGTATCAAGGACCCAAAACACTGTTGGAAGGTTAAAAATGCAATTTGAGTTACCAAACGGTCTTTAATTTTAATGATCTTATACTCGAATCGAGCGGCTTGACGATACAAATCCAACGAGCCCAAGATCGCTGAATTCCGACATCATTAAAGCCTCCAAATGTCCGACAAACGGTGCACGATCGAAGGGTTCAATATCGGTCGTCCATTCAAACCACTCCCTATTCGCCCGTAATCTCACACCTATTTACGAGCTATGCCACTCCATAAAAACTATAAATAGAGCATTCATTCTTCACAAGGGGGACTCAAGTGAAGAGAGAGAAGATGAAGGAAAAGGGGAAAATGCGAATCCTCTCCTCCTCGACCACCGCCGGAGCTCTTCCCATCGCCTGAATACACCGGAACTCTGTCGGATGTTTGGGAAATGACGGGATTTTACAAAACTTTGTAAATTTGCTTCAAGTTGTAATATGATCGTCCCAATTTGTGGGACGAATCAGTTTCTTGTAATTTACAAAAACACTAGGGAATTTCACAACTAGGAAAGGCCCCGTGGTTTTTTCCCTTTTTGGGTTTTCCACGTATAAATCCCGGTGTTCTTTCATTTTCCTTCTTGTGTGTTAAATATATGTGCAACTCTCGGACGCGAATTTACAAACTCTACCGCCACGTATTTTCTAGCACGCAACAACCTTAATAACTCGTACCTAGAAGAATATACCTCTACCCTTTCATATTCCACAAATCTCTTTCCCTTTCTTGAAATATTAGAAAGATTCATAGATTGAGCATAACTAACTTAGTATACTTGTTTCTCTAACCCATCAAAGATGTCAATATTTATTTAAATATTAAATAACCATTTAATTATAACTTAATAACTTGTAAAGGATAAGTAAAGTACTGATAGATTGTAATTTTTTATGATTTTAAGGTATACTTGATTTTGGAGTTATTATTTATATTTTTTGCAGTTACATTAATACATTTACAAAGGTTTTAGATATGACACAACACGTGTAGTTACATTCATCAGACTTCTCATTTTATCAGAGTTTGTGCAAAGATTTAGAAATTATTAACATTTAATTCATAATATCACTTATAATTGATCCATTTCAATCATCAAAATATGTAATGCATGATTATAATGCACATATGCTTATGTCTTTTTATAAATTCACTTCCACTTATAGCTTCATTTAACCTCTCACACCCACATATATCAAGTGGTGCCAGAATTAGAATAGACAATACAACATAACCTCCCAAACCAGCTTTCAACAAGTGGGGTCATAATCTCTCTCTCATTCACACGAGACAGTTGAGGGTATAACAAAATATATAGGGCCCTTACACATTAATAGTGCACTTTCACATATTAGAACTCCTCCAATGTCATGCTATGGTGACTACAAAGTCATAGTCAGGAGATAGAGTTTAGAGGATTGTGTTAGAACACAAGCTCATTGTATGTTAGAATTTTGACAATCACATATATTATTGGTTAAGCAAATTCACATTTAAGTCTTGTGTGCATGGTATTTTCTTTACTCTAACATTTAAGGCTGATGTATAATCAAAAAATTATCTTGATCAGGCATGAATCTTGAGGCAAAATCAAGCTGGAAACTTCAAAAATTAAATATGGGATCATCTGAACTCTGATTTCAACAAATTTATAGTCAAACTGAGTGTCTCAAAAATATAAACCCAACGAAACCAAATTCGACTCAATCCGAGCCCAAATGAGTCCAAATCAAGGACTCGGAGCATTGTTGGAAAGTTCTAACCACAATTTTAAGTTACCAAACGATTTCCAAATGTGACGTTCTTATAGTTGAATCGAGCGGCTCGACGAGACAAATCCAACAAGCCCAAGATCGTCTAATTCCAACATTATTAAGACCTTTAAATGTCTAACGAACGGTACACGATCAAGGGATTCAATATCGGTTGTCCATCCGACCACTCCCTATTTACCCCTGTTCTCTCACCTATTTACAGGTCATGCCACTCTAGAATATCTATAAATAGACCTCTCATTTCTCTTGAGAGGGGACCCTAAACCTTAAGCAAGAACAAGCAAGAAAAAAAAAAGAGAAGAAATAGAGAATGATTGGAGGGAGGAAACTCCACGATCACCGCCGGAATTCTACTCGATGCCCGAGTGACGCCGGAATTATGCCCGATGCCCAGTGACACCAGAATTCTTCAAGAGTTCTTAGAGTTTACTTTGGGCTTTATAATATCTTGAACCTGCCTAACAAAAAAAACCCAAGCTTTGGTCTCTAAATCGCATATTCCTTTTCTATCTCCTCTTCTCATTCGCTTATCCTCCTCTTTTCCTCGCAAAGGGCTGGGGTGAAGTGAATTTAACAAATGGTTTTAAATATTTATTATTTTAAAAACTATTATTTTGGAATGGTACTATGACCCTCACCTACCCAGTGATGCTAAGCTGAGATCTTGGTGTTGCAACACCTTCTTAAAATTATCTTTTAAACAGAGAGCTGAATATCACGGGGCCACTTCGTCCAGTGCCACGACACTCCCATAGAAATTTTGATAAACTTAAGATTCATTTTCTTAGTCTAATTCTTGGCTTGCCAAGCTAAGGATTCATTAAACACTTTATGGCTCATAATTACCAATCAAATTAAAATTAAACAAATATGAATTGAAATCACATCAATTACCAATGTTTTTTAACATTATATATTACAAAATATTTGTAAAGTATGAAAAAACATATAACATGTTCATATGATTCTCATTCGT